ACTGGTGTGCTTTTGCAGCACAGAATTTTGATGGATGCAAAATGGTTTCAGAAAAGTGCTGTGAATCTCTTGAGACCTCAGCTTTGTTCAGAATTTTTTTTTTTAGTTCCTGGTCAACAAAGCACCAAATGATTATGTGTTTCATGAAGAAAGGGAGAAAGAACTGTTTTCTAATGTCATTAAATGAATGGTGTACTCTGACTTCATACAGTTTTCACCTCGGTCAACCCATCTCTCAGAGATTACAAAGAAATAGAGCCCGGAAAAAGGGCTAGAACAGAGGTCAGCAAACCTTTCAGATGATGAAAGATTAAAAAGATTAGGACTGATTAGCTTAGTGGGGAGACAAATGAGACTGGATTTGATGGAACTGTGTACAAATGATAGTTTGCGATTTTGGGGGGGCGGAGTTCACTATGGCATTCCTGTCTACCTCCACAGAGCAAAATAGAAGAATGGAAAGACCTTGAAATTAAAGACAACCGGTGCTGAAGTAATGAAAGGAAATCCATTAAAAACACTGCACAGCCTTTAAAATTGCCATTGCCGTAAGATAGGGACTAGCAGCTTAATAGTATTTAAAAAGGTGAAAAGTTTTGTGAATAAAGAACATCCATAGATGCATAATTGTCACTGACGGTTTCTTCTGAAACATCAGGTGCTGGCAGCTGTTGGAGACGGGGCCCTGCACTAGAGAGACCACGGGCCCATGTGAGAGTGGCAGTCCCATGGTCTTGCCTTCGCTGTGCTGAGGCATGGATCAGTGCAGCACGCTCCAATGTTGTGGACTGGGCGTGCCCAACGCCTGGCATGGGCCAGATCTGGCCACAGGTTGATGTCATCCAGACTACAGGGCTCCCCCAGTCCTGAGACTTTGACAGCAGCGGAGCCAGTTGCCGCTGCCCTGCTGTCCCGTTTGTGGACTCGGGGAGCCCCGTGGGCAGCTTGCTAGATTGAGCATGCAGAGCCTGATCCGGCCTGCAGACAGGCCCTGCACCTCTTGGATCCAACTGGCCAGTGGCTTAAAGCATTCCAGGAGAGAGGAAGACTGAAACATTGCTTCTTCTACTGAGTTTAGAACGGGTGGGCAAAATGCGGCCCGAGGGCCAGACGTGGCCTGCCAGGCCATTCTATCGGGCCCGCGGGGCCCCTAAAATGTTTAGAAAATTAATATTTATCTGCCCCGGGCTGCCTGTCATGCGGCCCTCGATGGCTTGCCAAAACTCAGTAAGCGGCCCTCTGCCCAAAATAATTGCCCGCCCCTGATTTGAGAATCATCCCCTGTGACCCCACAGACCTGAAGCGTGCTTTTCCTGATGGGAACGTTTGATTTAATTTTTTGGGCCTTCCTGTAGGCCATTCACTGCTAGAGATGAGATCCCAAACTAGAGCCCTCCCTGATTTCTTCTGCTTTTATCACAGAATTAGAGAAGGCCAGTTCCCCGCAAGCAGAGATCCACACGCGCACACCTTGTTTGCCTTCATAGACACATTTAAATGTCTGTGTGTGATTGAAGGAAAAATGCCTGCACAGACCTTAGGCCTTCTGAGAGATCCTGGGCCAGAAAGAAATTACAACTATGATATGTCTTAGCTCAGAAATCATCCTGACTACTCGCCCACTTCCCGCTTTCCCAGCATCAGAAATCCAACTTTGGCCCACAGGGTGATTATGACTTTACCTTCAGCACCTCTGAAATCAGCCATGTGACATGATCTAGTTTTGCTCTCTCCTCGTGGCTGTGCTGCTTCCTCTCCTCACTTCGTAGAAATTTACCTCTTACACTGCTTCCAGAAGAGTTGCATTTTAATCATATGGAGATTTTTCTTCCTTTGAGTGACTCCATGTTGGAGCCCAAAGCCACCAGAATCAGGATTCTGGTTGCAGCTTGCCCAAGGACTCAGAGAAACCAAGTATCTTGGCTGGTCAGTACTGGAATTAGAAATCAGAGCTGGTTCACCTGGCCTAGAGGTGCCCTTAACTGGTCTACGGAGGGCTGGCAAGCTGTGAGGTGCTGCTTCACCTCTTCTGCTCTGCCTGCCAACTCATGTTAAAAGAAGCCAGGAGTCTGTTAAATGCTTTCCTAATATTGCTCTTCCAATCTGCGACTGTGGAATCCCTTCTGGGGGTAGTATTTGGCTGCCAGAGGGAAGGAAAGTGGGTCCTGACTAAGTGAGCAAGCATCCACGAGACGCTAAAATGACTAGTTCACAAGCCAGTGCAAGGCTTTTCCCTGAAGTAGGACGTCTCAGGCTGAACTCCTGCATGCACGAGTGTCTTTGTCCTCCATTCCCCAGGGCGGCGAGTAGATTTTTGCAAGTTCTGCCATGTTCTTGTCTCTGGTTCCTTTGTGTTATCGATACCTGCACACTCCTTTAATTCTGGCCGTCAAGTCGTCTGGCTCCCACAGGAATACCCAGTTGGACTGTGTAGAAGCTGGTATGCTCTGGGAAGGTAAGGTAATCCAGACTCCACATCTGCTGATCCTCGTTTTGCACTTCCCTTGCTTTTTCGTAAGTGAGCTTTCTTTAATAAGCAAAGGTAGGCAGCCAGGGAGGACCACTGTTGTACTGGCCTGGGTATGTCCTGTGCTGACCCTCATTCACACCAGTGCTTCTGCAACCTCTGCTCCTTCACTGCACTTGGCAGGGTTCATCAGAGCAGTCCTTCCTGCACGTATCCACTGACGCACCACTCACCCTATCTGTTTCTTTTGACAGCTTGGTGCATGTTTATGCTTCCTTTGCTGTAAGGCGCACACAATAACTCAGGCTTCATATCCTTGT